CTTTGCGACGCGGAGTTATGCAATATTAGTCTTACTGCGATGGTTTGCGCTGACATCATTTATTAAACCACGCAGGCGATGTATCATTTGAATGCACGTTGCACTTCGAACAACGGAAGCGCAGCTTATGTTTGAGTCGAGCAGCTTTCTGGAGGGATAATATTTCTACTGTGGAACACTGCTGCGGGAGATGATGACCTCTGGCGTTCCCAAAACTTGGGGCGAGTTTATTTACGGCAGAAACGCGTATGTCAAACGTGCGGCTAGTTCCACCCGGATGTCACTGCAAGCGGCAATTGAAGTAGTTACGCAGCAGTAAGCTAAGCACTGCAAGTCATGTAGAAGCACTCCCGCCGGGCTTGTGTTTGCTTTGTACTTTTCGCATACTACCCGGTACTTTTACTTTAAGCGGAATTCAGGCGCACGCTGAATAACTCCGGAGGTCAAAGTTAATCTTCAGCTAAAGGCGTCCCTCAAAACGCTCCGTGAAGTATCAAGAAGCCTGCTTTTTTCCTCACTTAAGAATGTTCAACTTAAAGTGGTTAGTCCTCCTGGCCATGGCGAATAACAGTACGTCACAAAAAAAAAACAGCCCAGCGACTAACGAATGCCAGAAAGTGCAAGTCGGCTTTAATTGGGTCATGTTCCCATAGAGTCGAGTCTTAGATTCTTTCAGCTCCGAACGACTGCTCAGTGGCGGGTCACAGAGTTCAGCTGTGTGGGAGGTACCGGAGCCACATCTCGGAAACAGACAACGACGATGGCCACGAAGATGAAAGTAGCCTTCACGTCTGGCGACTAAACGGTGGCACGAGAGGTCAATCAAGGTCTCCCAGACCTTTCACGCGGCCGTTCGAGCATCTCGAAAAATTCTGAAGCCTACCAAGGCCAAATGGCCAGCCAGCAGGTCGCGGAACGTCAAACGAACCGGGAATAAAAAGCGAACTCGTGCATTCTCGCGAATCCCGTCACAAAAGAACGGGTCGGTCACGCCTTTTTGGATTGAGATGGCCAAAGGGGTTCGCGGCGAGGTCTGTTTGCGTGCGTGGCCTCAGGCAAGCAATGAGGGGAGGGACAGCCATTGTAGACGTCACACCGTTGCCAACATCACGCGCATCATGACTGGTGAATCTGGTCCACTGCTAACATACGACGTCCTTCGGACGCCACACCGTCCGTACTGTAACACAATTACAGTACGGACGGTTCAGTCCGAAATAGACTGCGCTTTCGGACATTCTGTTTTGAATGGATCCAGGGTAAGGCAGAGTAATAAGAAATAAAAAAACAGGTCAGTGCTATTGCTTCTGGGCAGTCCGTCCTCCCGAGAGGCGCCGGGCATTCAAGAAGCGCTCGGCTGATTGACCTTATCAGGAGCGCGCGCGGCGGCGAAAGCAAAAGAACCTCCACGAACCGGCCACGCACCCCGCTTTTGCTCGACTGTCCATTCGTTTGGCCATGACAATAAATAATAATCGCAAAAAGGTGGGAGAGGAGGGGTCGCCCTTCCTTGACCGAGGACGGCGCACCGACACATGAGCCCGCCATCTCCTCCACATTCCCGCTTCATCCTCCCTGCCTCCTCACAACCACCACCACCACCACCACCATGCCTCGTTTCACTACATGGCGCAGCGGCATTCCGTCTCGGCCCATTCTCCGGGAGCAAACACACAAGCTCCATTCCCACGCTCCTCAACGGAGCGAGTGTCGAAGACTTCTCTCCAGTCGGAGGGGGCTCAAAGCAGGAGACTTTACGTTAGGTGCACCGGCTTCGGAGGGTGAAGAGAAGAGGAGAGTTTGTCAGTTGCTCCAGCGGCTTCGTAGGCAGACAACCAGCCCCATCTAGCGGCCGCCTTCGTCACCACCTCAGTTCCGAAAATAAAAAGAACCATGGCAACCACTCGTCATCCAGGACGCCGCCGCCCTCCGAAAAACCGTGATCGCGCGGCGCTAGACAGAGAACAAAACGAAGACAACAAGGGCAGAATGGGACACCCCGCGTGGAGCTCCAACGAGACCTCCTAGAGAAGAAAGCCTACAAGAAAAATTGCTCGTGAAGAAGACGAAGAAACGGGGTGTGGGGGAGGCGGAGCAGAACGTGCTTTGAGAAAAGCGGTTCGCAAGACGCGACGGTGGTGCTTCGGCAACTGTGGTGGCAGCGGCGTGCCGGTAATCAAGTGTAGTGGTACTTTCGCTCTCCAGCAAGAAGGAAAGGAGGCTGCTCGTACATACCGTAGGCCTAACCTCCCCCCCCCCCCCCGTTCGCTTTTACTCTCTTATATTTTTCCCGCGCCCTCGATGCTTCCTTCAGCACCACGTACGACGACGTTCCCTACTGGAATGTGCCCGAGCTGGTGGTTGCGGTGGTAGCTGGAAGAGGGAGGGGGGTGCCATGTACGGTCTTCGCAACACCCTCCCGTAGAGGACCGCGAAAAAACCTTCTCGGACACCGCCGCGCACTTTTCTTTCTTGGACATGTGCGTCTTTTCGCCTCGCCACTGAGCGCTTAGCTATGCGGGCGGGCGACAGGAAAGGGCGACGTATGAATGGCCGAGGCCAGGGCAGGTTTCGTTTTCGTTTGTGCGCCGGCTTCATCCTTCTCCTACCCCGGTGGCTTGAATTCGCGGAAGAAGTCGGCGGGAAGGTTCTTTTCCAAAGCCTCTCGCTACCCCCCCTTCCCCGCCTCCGAGGAGCTACGGCCACCGAAAACCTGAAAGCTAAAGAAATCACTGGCTCTCCCGGAATAAGGTGAAGGGGTGGTCTGACATCGACCAGGAGGTGGGAGGGAGTGCCGCCGTTTAACCAGCCACCAAGCTCAGCCAATCAGAGGCAGTCTTTCACTCGACTACCGCCCCCCCTCCATTTTTTCCAGTCCCCCTTTCGGTCTGCGGCAACCTTCTATGGACATTTCAAAACGTCGTGCCCCCAGCCGCGCCATGCCCATTTCCTTTTGCTTGTATGCTTTACTCATGCCTACAGCGCACACGAACTCTATCGCGCATGATACGAAGAAAAGAAAGAAAAAGAGAGATAGGTCCGATGAAAACACGATGAAAACAAATAGAAACTTACGTGAGCCCGCGCATGCGCGGAGAACTGGGTGTAGGTCAAGTGCATGTAGTTCTGTTGCCAGGCTGGATAGGCTCGCTGCGGAGAGCGAAGTGGCGACAGGGAGTGACCTTGTCGCTGGTGGTGCAACAGGTGATCTGCGTTCACAGAGCGGTGCTAGGTCTTTCTCGCCTTTTTGAAGGTCCGGTGCGCAGTTCGGGGGCTGCGTGCACTTGTTGCGCGGCTCTCGGTGCCATCTGAATCGCAGCCGGATACCCAATCCACCCCCCGACATCCCCGTCCTGAAGAGCTTTGATCAATCGTAGCCGAGAGGTTTGCGAACAAACAGTGCCATCTAATTATATCAATCGATCGCAATGTCACGTCAAGTGCTTCTCCCTTCTCAACCGTCCAATAACAAAGTACCTCTGACGTAAGCACTTTACGCCGCTGCAGCGGATCAAAGGACTGGCGTATCAGCAGCGAGTATAGGCTTAATAGTTCTGACAAAGAGAAATTCGTTGCTTTTGAATTCCACGCGTCGTTCCCTTGAGAACATCCGGAACACGAATTGCAGATTCAATTTTGACATCGTGAATAATTTCTGGGGATCACCTCAATGCCAATTTGAATCGTTAAAAAAAGTGAAAAATTCGAAACGATACACCCAGGAAGGGATACGTTGGTGGTCGATACATTACGCATTCTCGAAAACCATTATGTGCCACGAACATGCGTGGTTTCTACGCAGCACCATGCAGGGGCGAAAAAAACCACATGGCGGTCAGCGACGACGATGTGTGGGCCCAACTAGAGCGCACCCTTCACACGACGACAGCTCGGCTTCAAGAAGTGTGCTTGTGTGTCTACAGATAAGATCAGGAATCTTAAATTCTCGCACAGGAAGCTAGGGCTGCCGGTGTCGCCACAGTGTCGAGCATCTTCCAAACTCTGAACGCTGATTAGGAACTCCGGGAGAATCGTCGGTGGCATCTCTTCGCCGGGCTCCTCGATAACCACGTTGAGTTATGGCTTGTTTAAAACGGAAACAGGGCACGATGGATGCCCGGGAGTACGAAGGTGACGGCGTGTAAAGATGGTGCGCTCCCGTTTGAAGATATATGGTTCAGGCGGCGGGTGGCCGCGCAAGGGCTCGGCCCCTGTGGTCTCCTCCCGCTGATTATCGATATCCGTTGCTTTCCGGCCGAATTCCTCGCTTCTGTGAACTTCGTTGCTGTTTTACTCCAGTAGTGTTTGCCAGAGCGTCTCTTGACTGGTCTTCTCCTATACACCGCCTTTCCCTTTTTGCAAACCTTGCGGAACCCTCTAACACGAACCAGGGCTGCAGGTCAAGAACTGAAAAACAAAGAAACAAATACCAGATAGTTTCCTCTTCACTCAACTAGGCTCAGTGGTTGGTCTTTTTCGCCTCGCTGACATGAATCTTTCAAAGATACGCGCATGACCTGCAACATGCGACGGATGTGCCCGAAACGTAGCGTTGGTGAAGCATTCCTTTTGACGCATGCGTCACCCTTGCATCTCTCCCAAAGTATATTACACAAGCCTGTGTTGTGAGGACGTCCCCGGGTACTTTGGTGGATGCATTTAGCATCGCCACTGCTCGCACACCCCATGTATGTGAACAAACACTGCAAAACAGAGCTTGTGGGAATAGCGGAACCTTTATCAAAGATAACAGCAGCGTCTGCAGTGACTGACTGTCGAGGCATCTCGACTTTTCCTGTTACATAGCGTTCTCAACAGCGATAAAACCTGAAGTGTTGTCGTTTCGCTTTCTGGCATGTGGTCTGCTGGACATGCTTCGAGGCCTGTGAATTGCACAGCGTGATATTTTGTGCATGCTACATTTAGTATCAAAGCAACGCATTCGAATGTTCACACGTGAACTCAGTAATTAATTTGTATTAATTTTATTTTTTGCGCAGGACTGTCTGCAAGACTGCCAGCAGAGGATCGAAAAGACGCTGGTGAGGAACTACCCCGAACTCACCAAGAGCCTTGCAGCTTCTCTAAACGGCACTACCCCGACGCCAACTCCAGCATCGACACCGTCGGGGGACTACGCAGTTAAAGTGAGCGCCGAGACTGTCACGCTGGAGTCAGAGACCCCCGAGACCCCTACCGACGTCCAGGACGTTCTATTTTGAACTGCGGCCTCCCCCAAGGCCTAGGCACTGCCAGAATATCTTAGGAAAATTAAAAAAAGAAAGAAAAGAAACAAGACGAGAATGCCCTGTCACTGTGCTTCATTAGTGGTCGATAAGCACAGCGATGTGTGGCTTCAACTCGTGCTCGACACATCTCGTTCGACAGACGTCGTGGTCGACAAGCCCAGCGATGTGTAGCTACAAGTTTACGACCTCAGCCACAACACCACCCCTTGTCTCCCAAACCCTTCAAACAGCTGCAGGAAAATGCAATAGAACTCGTTTGAGGAGGGACTCCGGTGTTCACCCCGAGTACCCATCCGTCTTAGTAAATGCAATTGAACACTTGGAACACTTCTGTGCGTGCGTGTGCGCGTGTGCTGCCACAGTTTTCTTGTGACTTTCGGCGAACTGTATTTAGTCCTAATTTTCTATTCATCGCTTCATTGCTGCCAGCTGCCTGCCGAGAAAGGAAGCAAAAGAAACGTCTTTGCCAACGGGAAGAAAGCCAGTGACAACCTTTTCTAACCAGACCTCAGCACCCTTGCTACTCCCCAAAGGCTTTTTCTTTTTTGTCCCACGTGAAAAGATACTGAAAGAACTGCAAGGCTGACGAAAATGTTCGATGGTGACTGAAGATGTGAACTGTTCTAGAAACTTTTTTTAAACCTTTGTCTTCGCTTTGCCACTGGGTGTTGGTCGAAGATGGTCACTCTTGACTCGTTCGTGCATTTTTTTTATTATTATTTGCTCGACCTTGACATTAAGTCGAGAGGGAAAAACAAAGAGAGCAAAAGTTGGAGTGAAGTGTGATTGCAAGTAGTGTGCCTTGTGCAAAATGTGCGTCTCGGATGTAACAGAAAGCAGAGATGTGAAGACGCCTAGTCAACGATGAACGTGACTCTTTTTAATGTTATGTTTCAGTTTAGTCTGCATGGCATTGTATTGGTGTGTGTAAGAGACCAACTACGAAGATGACGGCTAGAAAAACGAAAGCAATGGTGCTGCACGAAATATTTTTGAGTGATATGAATTCGATTTTTTTTTGAACTGTCTGCTTGTATTTTGTGCGTGCTTGAGGACATGGCGAGAAAGAAAACAAAACAAAATGAGACAGCCATGACAAGTGTCGTAGTAAGAAATTCTGGGAAACCGCAAAGAACCAGATGACCAGTTAGATGACGCATTGCGGCAAAGCCAGGAATATTTCGTTGCAAAACTTTCTGTAAGATTTCCCAAGCATGGGCTTTTCAAGTGCCCTTTATTCGTACCTTGGGTTTTTCTTTTGGTCGCTGGAATGGAAATCGGAATCACTTAACTTAACCTTGAGTTCGAAGTAACCCCGAGTAACCTTGACAGTTCGATGACCCTTTGAGAGTGCCGAAGGAATTTAGCCGTGATGCTGATTGCGAATTTACCGCGTGCATGATGCGTGTGTGTGAGCGTTACCGTGTGGTAAAAAGAAAACTCAGGAAAGGCGGGCAGTAGTTTTTTTTTCGAGGTTTAAGTGGGTATTATTATATTATAGCAATAATTATTTTTATTGTCTTTTGTTGTTGGATCAAGTCCTCTATAGCGTTGCACGAAGAGCACCAGGGCATTTTTTGAGGGTGTGTCACCTGTGTTTTTTCGCCTACTTTTTTGTGTATATACATAATATCTTATCTATACAAGTGCTCGTCGATCGGCGAGACAAGCTGCGAAATCGCGTTAGTGTTCGAGCGGTATACTTTTTTCTGCCACTAGCTCCTCTCTGATTCAAGGTTACATGGATCCCAAAGGGCGTGGTATTTGTCACATGGGGTGACCACTGCGTTAGTGACTTAATACCTCCACTGTGAATGTCAGCTTTAGGCTTTTTTTTTCCCTTTCGTTCAACTCGCAATTCGTAATCCGCATCCACTTGTAGCCATCCATGTGTCGTCACGTCACAGCAGATTAATCGCATGCATCACCGGTTTTTCACGTTCCGTTGTTCCACTAAGCAGGACATGTTTTGATGACGTAACCATCAAAAAGTAGGAAGTTGTGCAGAACCTTTGATGAAGGCTCATCTTGTGCCGTCGTTTACCGTGCCGACGAAATCTGCGGCGAATCTTATTTTGTCGTCATTAGCGTCGATGCTTGCCCTGTGCATCGACGTGACATGTTTGAGACCAGCAAACAATGTCAACCCGACAAATAACTGTTGCGTGTAAAGCAGATATCGGCACTCTCACGATGACAAGTGGACATCTACTGTCGACACTTCATCATATCCGACTTCAATTTGACACGTAATTAGGATATCTTTACACGGGATCACAAATGAGAAAGTGCGATTTAGCGCATCCTTTATCAAAACCTACCAAAAGCGCAAAGTCTAATGCCCCTTGGTGGCAGAACCGCGAACTAAAAACTCTCGAACCGCTGATGTTAAGCGTCGTTGGAGTATTCTTTATTCACAGTTGGAATGGAGAAAATACAGAAAACAGCAGTTCTTGACTGGAGCACCTCTTGCGCAAAGTCATCCAGCAATACCTCAGAGCCTCGTAATTTATAACTGTTAGTGTGCGTTCACGTGTTGAAGCAGAGACGCTCCAGTTGACAAAAGAAAGAAAAAGAGAAGAGAATGCAAACAGATGCCGACGTAGCCGTCTCCCTACCTAAGTAAAAACAAGAACCCCCCTCCTGCAGACTCTTGTCAAAGACTCGATGCCAGTCACACACCGCTTCATATATACATGGTGCAGGGAATGAAGAAAAAAAAATGAGAATATCACCGTTTTTCGCTTTATCATAATTTTTTGTTGTTTCGCTGTATAAGCTGTCTTCCGCCAAAATATGCTGGTCATATGTTGTACACTTAAAGGTTTTTTTTTTTTTTCGCCTTGTCGAACAGCCAGTCTTATGTCCTTGCAGCTTTGTTCGTTTGTCCGGTCCGTTTGTTGGACACACCGTCATACGTCCATGTTTGTTCTTCCTGATCAGAGCGTATAAAACGCGTCCGTATAAATATTATATATATTATATATACATACAAATAATATTAGGTTACCACGCAGGCATTTAAGTACATTTTTTTTTTGTCGCTTCTATTTTGTTCCCGCGTTCCAGCTGTGCGTCGCTGACCAGGAGATAGCGTGATGACCTGTTCTTTATTTGTACTAAGACAGAGTCCGTTTTGAAAGCGCAAGACGCCATCAGCTGCAGATGATGAAGAGAAAGAAATTGTGATCTTTACGGACTCCAATTTTTTTCTTCGTGAGTACGTATGTTTTTATACGAACTTTAGAAAAGATTGACTCCCCCCCCCCCCTATTTATTGAAAGCACGGACGAGTTACACGGCTGTGTTCTTGGACTTCCCCCTTTCTGTTTTGATCTTCTCAAAGCATTTGGTTGGGCCACTGCCAGCCTTTTCTTTTCCTTTATTATCGTTATTATTTTCTCCGCAGACTTTCGATAGCCTCAGAGAAATGTCCACTGAGCCCTTGGGGCCCACATATTTTTTTTTCTCCCCCCCAAGCTACTGATACCTCCTGAGATATGTGTTAGGTTATATTTTTGTCTTTGGGGGCGACTTTACGGTTGTACAAATAGGTAACCGCCATTGCGAAAGAAAAGTAACAACTACAAAATGACACCACAATCGCCTCAGGTACAACGATAAATAGTATTTTGGCTTCCCATTTCGCGTTTCGGGACCTGGCGTCTACCCAGGTGCTAAGGTAACGGAGCCTGATTTCGTATTCGTCTTACTGAGGGAAATTCTTAGGAAAAGCTCGTAACATGGACGTCTGAATAGTTCTGTAGCAATTGAACGTTTCCACTAAAAAAAAAAAAAATCTGGATTCAAAATGCAAAATCCACACAGCATGTCTTGTATTTTTTCTAATTGTGCCCCCTTTCGACAGGGGCTCCTCAGGTGCCACCATCGATCACCCCGTGGGATGTTGTACATACGAGGGACTCCCTGAAAGTTCTCTGCTGCAGTAGGAATGTCAGTCCTTGAATTTTCATGCGACAGTCCAGGAAGCAAGTGCACCGTCGAAAGCGAAGTGTACGCACGCTTCATGAATGCTACAGCCTGCAAAAAATTTCTATATGAAGTGGCAGGCCTGATAACCATTGTCTATTGAGCCGTTATCGAGAATTCGACATCTGGTAAAGGCAAGCTTTCGAGTGTCTTCATTCGTCTTCGAATCACGAATGTTCGCATTTCCCTCGCAGCGTATAGACACGTTTGCACACTTCAGGCGCGTGCGGGAATTCCCGCCCAACGTTTCCTTCCAAGAGCACGAAATGGGGAAGACTGTATTCAGAACAGACCACCACTTGGTACAATGCATTTTGTTTACATCATATGAATCTGAAAAAAAAAAAAAAAGATTCGGATATTCAGTATGCATCCAGTATTGCATCCGCCTTTTCGTTCGCGTGAGGCTTCACCTTGAGACACATCATAATGCCAACGCTAGTTAGAAGTCGTGGCCATATTTCCTTCTCATCGTTTTTTTTTCCAATCTGCCATGGTCGTTCAGGAAATTGTGCTTGAATATCATTACATCCATCGCTTCGTGATTTTTTTATGTTATTTATCATAGCGTTCATTGCCTGCAGCGGACATATTTTCCGCGGGTATGCAGCTTTTGGGTGTATGAACGTTCTTAAGGGAAACAAAAAAGTGCCCCTCATATTAGACTGTCAACGATCACCTTGATGTGTTATCTTTCTTTTATTTTACTTTTTCTTTTGCTTCTCATGGATCGCGGTCGTTGAGATTAAAAAGGATCGTATTTCAGCACACTGAAGTCTATTCCAAAAGTGAATAGCGAAACGAAAAAAAAAAAAGGAATGCTGAAAAAGAAAACACGAAAAAAAAATTGTCTCAATGTGTTCTATGTAACCAATCTGGTACAGCGTTCTATTTGTTGACAAAAAGTGCCTGAAATGTGTACGCAAAGTTTATGCTGCGTCACCTATGGTATAGAAAAAAAACAAAAAAATAAAGCATGACGACTTTCACGTCTTCACTTGTAAATACATGATTTGATCGTGAACAGTGATGTTTTTTTTTTTGTTGTTGTCCCCGCAATAAATGAAAATGACAAATGTTTTCCTTGCGCCCGCACTTTTCCTGACTAGGTGTGCCCTTTCCTATGACTGGGCGTCACCAATCCACTCTGAGACGTAAGTATTTTCTGGGATTTAACGTCCCGAAACCACCACTTTGAGACGCGGTAGTGGAGGGTTCGGAAATTTCCACCACCTGGGGTTCTTTAGTGGGTATACCTAAATCTAAGCACACGGGCTTCAAACATTTTCACTTCCACTGAAAATGCGGCCACCACGACCGGGACGCAATTCTGCGACCTGCGGGTCTCTCAAACGTACAAAATAAGCACCTCTAAAATAACATTGCTGCAAACATGTCAAGGTGAAACGAAGTGCATTGCTGGCCTCATAAGTATTTGCTTCCGTTGACACGGAGTTTGATGTTTATTTACAATTTTGATCAGACATGAATCAAGCTAAAAGGTTGTCTATACACGAATGACTAAACGTCTGGCCCTGACTCCACGACTACACCAAACAGCAGATAACTGCAGGAAAAAAAAAAGTCGCGCATCTCCATGAAGTGGAGTGTGACGACTGGGCGAAGCTCTTGAGTATCGTATCGATGAGCAATCGCACGTTAGCCGAGCACTGACCAATATAATGATAGGTATAATTAGGTATGCACGAATAATTAGGTATAATTATGTATGTATGAGTAATTAGGTATAATTAGGTATGTGTGAGTAAATTTATGGTGGTCCTGTGGATCACAATGATATTATTCCTAAATGCTTAATTTGCATTATATGGGTGACATAAGGCGTGTATAGAAATTTCAAAAATTGCGTCTTCGACTCTCAGGCAATTCAAGGAGAATAGAGAAAATTGCTGGAGTGGAGGATATGCCTCGAAAGTGAAGCCAAGAACCCGGCATTTTACCGGAGGCTAAATACCAGTTTAATATGGCTCATTTGTTGGGACATATAGTGCCCGACGTGCGCCTTTGTGTTACAAGTTTCCTTGAGAAGCTTTAACATATAGGCACATTTTAGTAGAGGTCACCTCACCAATACTCTTCTTGATAGGTTGTTTTCGTCGGGAGCAGTGGCCTTATATTTAGCCTATGTCTACTGAACTCTGTTGCAACCCCTCCCCTTTTTTGTTCGTATGTGTGTCACATGTTTCGACTCTACCGTGACCACAACGCAAGAAAAAGCTAAGTCCCAACGAGTTTCGCCCCTAAAGGGACCTGGCATAGTCGGTCTAACTGCCTCAGGCTTTCGCCGAACACCCCTTGGAATTTACAAAGTGTACTCCACTTTTACGTGTTTCTTACGAAGCCCTCCAGTGTCAAGACATATTTCAGAGGGTGATTAGACCTGGCATAGACAGTCGAACGACCTCAGGCTTTCGCCGAACACCCCTCTGAATTTACAAATTGTCCTTTACATTTATTTGTTTCTTACAAAGCCCTCCGGTGACAACAGTTATTTCAGAGGGTGATCCGCCACATACAATACGACCAAGCAGGTTCGTTACACCTGAAACCCCAGGCTAGAAAGCATCACCGTCTTTATTAAACAAAATATGCTCACACTATCGTGAAATTATGACACAAACATTCCGGTACCTTGTTGTTTTACTGAGTGGCTTATCTGAGAGCATTGGCAACAACCAATGCATCTACAAAGGAAGACATTAAATATATGAAAAAGTTAGTTTCGCTGACGTGCGTTCACTCGTGGTTTCAAGGAAGCATTGGTTGGAAACACTCAACCGCTCTTCCACAGATCCACTCGATCAGAGATTCGAACCACTGAGACCTCGCTCCACCTCCATCGCAGTGACAATGTCAATGTATGACGTCATCATAACGTCACACACAAGTAAAGCTTGTGATATCACATGGTCACGTCACCACGGGAGATCAAGATGCTTGGTTAAAGGAGGATAGATCACCGTGGTATTGCCAAACCAGGTGAGGAACACAAACCTCGCAATCCCTTCGACTTACTAAGCACTGCAAAATGACATTCAGGTACATAAAGATCTCGAAGTGGGGCGAGGTGGGATCAATACTTTTGCTGTGAAAAAAAAAGGGGGCCTTAGGCTTTGAGTCGTCTTAAGTCAATGAACACGAAACACTGAGAGTGTTTCACTTGATCTTCATACCAATTCCATAAAGTGCTTATCTCAACTTCAGTTTGCTTCTTCGTTTCTGGTTGAATTCAATTGGCGTCCCCCACAAAAAAAAAAAGAAAAGCAAGCAACGCTATTGAAGACACGAACTGGTAAGCATGTCTTCTTTGCTCTTGTAAGATCTGTAGAAAGATACATTCAGCATGCACGCTTACTATATATAGCATACCGTATTGCGTGATTAGATATCTTGATGTTCAATTGCAATGTCTATAGTTCTCTGGTACACAATCTACAAGTAAACCTTAGTAACAGAACATTCACCTATTTTAGACCAATGCAATATCACCATTCTGTTCACCACGGCTTTTAAAGAGCACCCTTTCCATAAGTGCAGCGTCATTTTTGTTGCTAAATCAATGAGCATGGTCCCGACACCTGAGCTCATCTGTCTCAATAATTTTGTAGCTATATGACACTTCATTACGAGATAAGGATACCAATGCTTTAGGACATGAGAGATCAGTGATTGTCCCTTTTTTATTCTTTTCTGCATGTGATGTCATTAGTGTTTCGAGAACTACGTCAACTCTAACTCAGCATCGGTATTTGTTTTTTCCCACAAATCACCGTTTGCAGTTGGGAGAAAATAACCCCCGACCACCGCATGTCATAGCCCCATTCGGACAATGGAGCTGTAAGCGTGCCAGTGTAAGTTAATTGGTAGAGAGATCGCGTAGTGCACTGAATCCACCACTACACTCGAAGTACTTACGCCTACACATTTCGACCATAATCATCCGCATGATTATGTGTTATCACCGCCATCATCTCGAGCTTCGTAATCATCACATTGATCAACATTCAGCATCACCAATCGGTTGTCATAACCAATTTAATTTTGATTGTCATCATAACCATTACGAGCATCATCGCAATCATTTTGCTTGATTCACTACCCCTCTGTTGACCTGCGTGACTCCTACTATTTCTGTGACTCGGATTACTACGACTGCCGTTACAATTACTACTGCTATGACTACTAATATGGCCATTACTATACTACAATACTACTGTTGCTACTAATATTACTATAACTATGGCAACTATTACTTCTGCTGCTACTACTACTACTAAAACTGCTACTACTGCTATATTACTACTACTACTACTACTACTACTACTTCTGCGGCCAATACAATGACTACTACTATGGCTGCTACTACTATACCATACTAGTATACTGCTGCTGCTACCATCACTACTCATACGACTGCTACGACTACTATTACTACTACTACTACGAAGACGATGTCGACGGCACAGGGCAGAACAGGACAGTCTCGCCGTTAAAAAAAATAGTCACAGAACGCCAAGGAATCCTCGAGGGTCCGGGCACACGTCAACTTGCACGTGACTTATCACTGACCCTGCAGTGTTCCCGTATCAACATGAGATCCCAAAAAGCTCCCCCCCCCCTGCCCCCCCCCCCCCCCCCGTCATCACACTACGCCCCGATGCGTGGGAACCGCGCCCATGTTGTGATGATTGGAGCGGCGAAGCGTTTAAAAGGCCATCTGTAGTAGTATGTGTACATACAGATGCACTCTCGCCTCAATCCGGCTCCCTGCGGGACTTTAATGAATCGACCTTGACTGAGGCCAAGTCGCATGCTGCGGCTGGACTTGTAAGAGAGGCACTGTGCAGCAGCAGCAGCACAGCCTCCTTCCTCCCCTGCCCGTCCAACGGAGTATCACGAGCGAAAGGACCAGAAACGCACGAAAGAAACCGGATTCTCGTGACGTCACTGGACGGGCCGGCTGCGCTAACAGCTCCGCAGAAGCGTCGTAAATGCGTTTCGATCATCTTCCGCAGCGTGGACCGGCGACGAAAACAGGCATTTTTTATATTTGCTTCTTCTCGCCTCGCGGCGAGAGATTGCACTAGTGAGAGACTGAAGCAGAGGGAGACCGAGAAAGGAAGAGGAATAACTTCAAGTTCTCCGAAACGCAGTATATTGGGTGGGGCCGTGACTTGGCTGTCGATTGCCGCTTCGTACTAAGCGGTCATACATCCGAGAGCCTTGCGTCGTGATTCGCTGTTTGTTTTTCAACTTGCACGTGATCAATGTCCTGGAGGTCCTAAGTCAATTTCGTGCATTCTGCGCCGTCTTTATTTTTTTACGCCTAATTGTTAAGTCCTTATTGGGGATCCCGGATGAAACTTCTCTCCAACAAGAACATATGTCTGTGAAGGCTGACAAAGTATGTTCAACAAATTAATCGGCATTCAGCATTCATAGAAGCAGGTCGCTCTCGAAAGGACGCTGGCCAAGCACAATGTTGGCTTATCTGTACAAAGGCCACACTATAGAACCTGAATGCGTGTTCAGGTGTCCGTAGCTACAGAGCTGAGTTGACGTAACCATCTTTTGAATCCCGAGGTCATTTAAAACGTCATTCAATATATAACACGATGGTTGCACAGTCAAGAATCATGGGTTTCGTATGTTATTATTGTCATCACGAAGAGCGGTACACATATATTGACACCAATGGATGGATGATGGATGAAAAACTTTTATTGGGGTCCTGAAGGATTCCACCCCCGTTTTATAGGGGTAGAATCGCGGGCCGCTCCCACGTTGGGACGGGGAGGCCCAGCCTCACCAATCAAATCAAACAATCTGCTCAGTGACACCTGAAAAGCTTAAATGCATGTTAGACTCACATGCATCGAAGGGAACGCTGAATTGTCAAAGGAGCTGATGCGCAATGCTGTATTCTCGTCTTCTAAATTGTTGAAGGGTACGAGGCGATTGATGAAACAAGGAACAAGTGGAACTTCCTGCGAGAACATTAACGCCTGCGTGTTCTGAAGTTTGTGAAAAAGTTCCTTTTCTATTTCATGTTGTTACCA